TTATTACGACGATAATTCACCCTTTAAGTGCCTGAGAGAATTAAGCCAGAATTCTAGAACCAATGCGAGTCCAATGCTGGATTTTTCCCTATGAAAGTTTTGATTATTCGATAGTAATTATCTGTCCGATGCCAAGGGTGTTCCGTATCGCGTTGCGAGTGATCTAGCACGTCGCTTGGTAACTTTTTGCGGAGGCATTGGCAAGAGGGCCTATCGGACTATCATATGCGGCAGGAGTGTTGCTTTCTTATTCCTTTCCTGTCAGAGGCTTCTTTGCACCTGCGCGATTGTGGTCATTTGTTTCTCTGCCCTCGTTCCGGCTTGCACTTCGTTTATGAAAGCCGGCGAAGTGTGAGACGGCACGCCGTGAATCGAACCATGGACTTGAACCCAGATCCAGACACCTTCCAAACACCTCGCTATCTCGCGTCTGCAGTTGCAAGGTCCGATCCACGGGGCCATACTGTACCGAGACGCCGTGGGCAAGCGCGACCCATGCTTCGAGTTGGCCTTTGCAACCGAGATGTACTCTTGTCAAATCTCTGCCGCGCCGGATGCCGACGTGCTCAGGGAGCTGTCAGTGCCTGCAGAATCTGGAAAGGCTTCAAAATCCCTTGAGCGACAAGATCCCCGCATCACATGCTGAGACAGCTACCGACCGTCCCGAGAGGATTGCGCCATGCTGTAGCAGAACCTTCAGGGTTTGAGCGGCCGCCTCCTCTCAAGGCAGGAAGATGCTAAAAAGCTGACTACTCTAGGAGTCGAGCACTCTGTGCCCAGTCCACTCAATTTATGCACACGGACCTGTCACACGGACATGCGCGCCGGATGAAAAAAAGCATCGTGAGGCCTAATTACAATGCAGCTGTTTCCCTGGTTCCAAGTCCTGCTTCTCCACAAGCAGCTTTGTGGCCTAAGCAGTCAGAAGTCATAAGTCATAAGTCATAAGTCATAAGCATTTAGTAGTCATTAGCAGATTAGCACCACCTTAGTTTCACCCTCCTTGATTTGGCCTCAACTGCTCTTTGGGAAAAGCTGAGATCTTTACCTCGCCAGGTGTGCCTGCGTAGTGAAGCGCATCCCGCAACATCCTTGGCAGGCCATGCCCCTCCGGATCACTGGCCTCTCGCCCACAACATTTGCGCACGAAGAGCCTTCTACTCAAAAGACTTTCCTGCCAGAGTGCCCTGTGTGCTGCCAAGCTTCGCTGCGTGCTCGGCTGCGAACTTGTCGAGCAGCGTATGACCCTGAACAAGGCCCCAGGCAGCCATTAGGCGGCAAAGAAGCTCAACTGACAACCGAGCCGACCCCTGCGGCCTTTGCATCTATGGACTTGTTGACAGGGACTCCACCATTGAGGCATCTCTCAACCTCGCGATGCACTGGGACATACGGGACACATGAGGACTGCAATGCATGACGTGGTCGGCTCGCCTCGTCAACATCCATCGACTCTACAGCTTCCAGCAGCCTCGCAGCGACAGCATCACCACAAAAGCAGCGCAGTATCAAAACCGACACTTAAGCACTCGGCAAGCAAGCACAAAATTGCATGCAGTCTCCTTTGCCTCTCTTGCGTCAGCTCTCCTTCATCGTCAGCCCAGGATCCGAGTCCGCAGTTGCCCATCTGTCACCTGAACATTGCAACACATTACGACGCACACGCCTGAGCCCTCGTTTGCAATTTCAGAGCCTTGCTGAGAGCATGTAACGCACGGCGGCCAGAGTGCTTGAGCCCAATAAGACGCCAGAAACTCTACCAAAGATGGCCACCCAACATCAGGCCTTGAATTCCTTTCTTGGGTGGGGGGAAGAACGGGGCCACAAAAAATGCAAGAGTCGCGAAGAAGGTGTTTGTTCTTTGGTTTTTTCGGCTTGAAGACATGGGCCCTCGCATCTGTCGCACATCTCTGTCTGCCACGGCACTGCGAAGTCCTGTGAACCAACGGGCTCTCTCTGATCATATTAGGCATGGTCTAGCAGTTAGCAGCTAGCATCAGCTAGCTCTGGGCTTCGTATTGAGGTGCCCACGCTCTCAAGTGAAAGCTTGCTGGCATCTCGGCATCATCTTGACGCAACAAATATAAAAGCCTATGTCGTGTCAAACCCCGAAGCACATCCGGGCCCTCCTTAAACGCAACATGACAGAATGGATCCATAAGCTATGTGATTCCGTCTCGCCAAGTGCTCAAATTCCCTGCAACCACTGCCCAAACAAGCTTCAGACTCGAACCCCGTGCGTTGTTTATCAGGGTTTTTCGCCGAATTCTCTGAGCCACAGGACGTGGCATCACATCACTATCGCAGGGCCTCACTGTGGAATCTTTGCTTCAATGGTAGACAGATGCAAATGTATGGACTGTATTGGCCCATGTAGTGATTGGGCGAGGTGTGATGGTGATGGCAAGGGGAAGTTCTCGAACCAACAGCACATACAGCACACAGATACTGAACATTTGCAATGCCCCGATGAAGTGCGCTCAAGGAAGTCGGAAGAAAGAAGGCCGATTCAGAAAAGAGGCTATGTTCAAAAGCATCTTCGTTACAGCATGCTGGCATGCTCCGTTCCTCACTGCGCAGAACTTGAGGAATCCGGCGAAAGGCTGCTGGCTAGTCGTCTTGCTGTGTCGGACTGCGGCTCAGAACATCCGTAGGATCTTGCTGTCAATTTAGGCATGAGGCAGTGGCACGGGCATCGTTCCTTCGAAGCTTGCGGGATCTTTGTCTCACGCAGCGTTGTTTTCCATCCTTCCTTGCGCCTCCAGCCACATCTGAAAGCCCTTTTTCTTCACCAGGACGCAGCGCAAAAGATTCATCTCTGCCGCCGATGTCATATCCTCCAGATCGTCCAGCTCAACCGCCTCCTCCCAGCGCACGAGCGCCGCCAGATCCCTGATCATCATGTGCATCGATAGAGGGGCATGCTGGAACCACACATCGCTGAATTTCAAGAGGCAGCGGAAACCTGTAGTGCTGGCACGCGACGGTGCTTGCATGTAGCGTTCTGCTGACATTTTGCGACACACATTGACATGTCGTGCCGACAGAGGTTGAGCTACGCAGTCGATTCACATGAAACACATTCAAAGCTTCATCCAAGAAACTGTCTTGCCGCGCAAGCATGTTCTCATCTAGGTGGACGTTGAGCAAAGGCTCATCCTCTGGCAAAGTTAGCGTTGACTCCTGCCGCATGTTCGCCGTAAACGCCAAGAGAGTATCCGTCCTCCACAAGGCTTTGCATCACTGCAGCGCTTGAAACCCTTCTGCCCATCTATGTGCAGAGATGCGCCTGGCCAGGTCCGCCAAGCTTTGCAGATGTGCAACCAAGTCCTCGTCATTACCAGTGCCGTACAGCGCAGTGCAGCACTTGCGTGTGGAGGAAGAGAGCAGGCTCCTTTGTATCTACGAAGCCTCGCGAGACACCGCGAGTCTTGCAGGTCTCGAAAGCCTCGCCAGGATTGGGAATTTCCACACGCCGATGCCAGCAGCACTGCAGAGACACTGAGCGGTAAACCGGCAGAAACTTTAGGATCTGCAGCCGCTCGTGCCTCGTGAGCTGTACATGCCCATGTGAGGGAATATGCCCAAAAACTACGAAACGACAATGTCTGAAGCCACAGCACATGTCTTGACTCGTCAACTTACCTATCTGACACCGTTTGCAGGCCCAGCGCTGCTCTCACGGCAAGATTCCTGCGCGCCCCGATGACAAGACTGGACCCTACGCGGCTACGCCTCCCGGAGGAGCTCGATACTTGATGCGCGGGCACGCCCAGAATTTCAGCAGAGCTGCGAAGAGAGCCGCTCCCACCCAATGGCCGAGGATCCCGAGACCTGGCATCCAAATCATTCAAAGATTTTGATGCTCGTACGCCATATGCGTGTTCGCCTCGGCCCCCACCACACCAACCCATCACCCATCTGTGGGAGGGCTGCAATGCCAGGCTGTGGGGGCGGGGGCCCAGGCTGAAGGCTCATTGCCTTCACCCAGCAGCATCATATAGTAGAGTAGGCGCCGGGCATTTGAAGCTCCACTTTGGCAGCCCATCGGAATCTCAGCCTGCACACCATTTGAGGTTCGCAGTCCGCGTGGCAGCTGTGGAGGGTTGAAGGCGAGCCTCCCGCGCAGTCGAAGGTTCCGTGAGATCCTGCCACTGGGTTTGCTTTAAAGACCCACCCGGCTACTACTGCACCAGAACCTATGCATGTTGAGAGCTGACAACTGATCGACCCAGAGTTGAATATCTTGGCGCTGCTGCTTGTTCATTCGTGCTGGTCAAGAAGCTGCAAGCACTGCCGGCACATGAGTCAAACATGTCTACATTCCCAGAGCATGAGGGGGCTCCAAACGCTTGCAGATCTCAGAAACACAAATTTGGGTCGTAGGTCCTGTGTGCAAGAATCGCCTTCTTCGCCAGGATCCCTGGGCAGAAGGACAACAACTCGCTACCAAACGAGCATGTGCTGCAGGCAAAGGCATCGGCCGAAAACCGAAGATGCTCCACAAGCCATCCTCCGACACATCATTCACATACAGCGGGTGCAACTGCTTGCAGTGGCTTACAAGCTTGTTGCCACAGGTGTGCTGTCTATGCCCCAGTCCCACAGATTCTCGCTCGTGCTCCGACAACTGCCGGGTAGCTCCACAGCCTTGCGCGGCATCACGAAATCTCACCCCACGTTGATCATGCGGCCTAGCCAATAGAGCCTTGTCCTCGAATGGTTTGTCCTTTGGCTCATCCTGGCACTACATGAGAAGATGAGAGCAGGATGGCCCATCCACGACTGTGAGCAATGCTGACTCCGCTACATTCACAAGATGCCAGCTTCAATAACTTTACGAATACCCAAAAACATGTGAAAAGGCATTTTGCCGTCGTGACCCTCTGACAGGCCTCTGATGGAGAGGCCTCTGATAACGAGGCAACCAGCGAGGACTCTTGTGGCACCTGCACCCGGCACACAAGACAAAAATACAGAGACGTTCAGAGCTCGCTTCTAATCATTCGACATCTGTCAGCCCCCGCCTTCGAATGCAGGTCTTGCATCAGCTGCGCAACGTCACGTAGAAGGTCGATGCGAAAACTCCTCCACTCCTGGCAGCTGCAACTGGTGCGCTGGTCTCTGGCCAAGGGGATTCATGCGGTCATGTGGTTGGCGTCTTGCGCTGTATGGCTCCTCCAACAGCTCCAGCTTCAAAGCCTGCGCATAAAGGCACAGGCTGACGTTACATGCTGCACATGCTCATCCACCATCTCGGCTGCCCTCCATCTGAGTCCCGCGCCCCAAGCTCTGACAACTCCGTCTTGGAGTTGTCTGCGGGGGAGGGGGCCTGCGAGTCGTGACACACAATCCTCCGTATTCATCCCTGTGTTCGATATCTGGCTCGACTAGTGCCAATAAAACATACACTCTGGTCAATGCCAATGATGCAATTTTATGCGAGAGCTGCCATCGGCGGACCCAACCTACCGGTGACTGCGCTCGTCGCCTTGTCGGTGAGGATGTTCCACATGAACGAAGAATTGCAAATGGTTGAAACAATCTGCGCTCTCAGGGCTGCAGCTCGATTTTCGAGCGCGAACGCTAGCTAGAGCTCTCCTTGAGATACGAAAGGATGGAATGAGCATCTCACACGAAACGTGTTCTCTTGGCGTGGCTGCACAGGCTGCATGGATTCGTTGGACTGCCAGACGATGATCTGCCGCAGTCCACCGGACCGGATCGCACCACGCGAAACATGTCTGCACCTATTGCTTTGCTGTGCACGTCCACGTTCCGACCCTGCAGAGAGTTTAAAATTAGGCCTCGCAAGGTTAGCTTTGAAAGGAGATCCTAAGTAGTCAAAGCATGTGAGCTCGAACAGTTGTATCGACAACCAGTCTTATTGGGACTTGCGGGGCAACAACAAAAAGCTTGAAGCTAGGCTATCACATTGGGGAGGTTGGGTTACATTCGAACTACTTGTTCTTGAAACTCGTGGATTGCACACATTGCAGCAAAGCTTTGGTCATTTTCTGCGAAGCCATACCAAACAGAGAACTGAGGTCATCGAATTTTCGGCTTCCATGTCCCCCTCGCTCAATCCACATGCTCTCTTGCTCGGCTTCGGTTGAGACTTTTCAAGACCGAGCCGCAGTCGTCCTAACCATGCCAAGTCAGCTTGGAAAGAAGCAAGCGGACGAGTGAAAGCACGTGAGCACGTGAACTTCAGCTGCAACTGTCCCAGCAAAACTTCGGATCTAGGTTTCCGCTACGCCGACTGCGAAATTGCTGTAGTTTCTGCGCACCGGTGCTTGCATGCCTGCCTTTGTGCATGCTGGCTTGTGAAAGATTCTTGAAACTGCGTAGGGCGCCTTCCTTTGTGCACCCAACACGTCTAACGTGCCGACAGTTGCCTGGCGTGTTGTATGAAACAAAGAACTGCACATGTCAAAAAGATACAACCATTTACCGTTTACAAAGTTCGACTGAAGAGTCTGATTTTTCCGGGACGACGCCTGGCGCTGGGGGAAGATTGTCTCGCGCACAAGAAGCGAGGGACTCGGGACTCGAGCCCGCGTGGAACGGAATCAAATGAAAGAAACCTATCGGAAACTGCGTAGGGCGCCTGCCTTTGGGCACCCAGGCAACCTTCTTGTCTAACCTGCCGAAAGTTGCCTAGCATGTTGTACGAAAAACCGTCGAATGCAATACCACCAAATAAGCAATACATATAAATATAAGTCCGACAAAGAAAAGCTCACCAGCCGATGGGTATCCTTCAGCATGGCAGCAGGTATTCGACAAAGCACTCCAGCTGGTGAGGTGCCTCGTGAGGTGCCACCATCAGGCCGAATTCAGGTAACTAACGAATTAAGGGCTGGACTGCGCTTGCACAACACAAGCGTGGGTTTTCAGTACAATTTGAACTCGCAACTTTGCACAGACAAAGTACTACTGCAATCAACAAACATGTGGCTGAAGCAAGTTGTCTAGGAGCAGTCCAGCTTATAAGCACCTTGGCGTACCAAGGTCTGGCTCCGCGCAGCACGCTGCTACTCAGCACTAATCCATGCCAGCAAGCTTGCAACTCTGCTCACTTTGGCCTTAAGATCCTGAATTTTGGGCTGCTCGCTCACGGTGAGTTGTGTCACACGTTCGCCCTGGCCAACCCCCTGGCGGTGGGGAAGAATGTTTCGGGCACTCGTGAACAGGGTACCTGAATGTTACGAACTATGCGTGATGCATCGAGGGACTGGGACTCGGACCGGTGTGGAACAGAATCAAACGGAACACGCCCAAATCTAACATGATTTGGCAAGCTGTGACATGAGATGGCTAATGTCCTCAGAGGCATCGCGTTGCAAGCACGTTCGTACATGCAACAGACCAGTCGGACGAGCCATGCAACAAGGCAATACGTTGCTTGAGATGTGGCAAATAGAGAAAGACAGGACGAAAAACAAAGAAACACACACTTTTCGGATATGTCTTAATCAGAAGAAGGCAGAAACATTCATCACCCAGTGTGCTGTGTATGCGGTGTTCATATATATATATAGATAGATAGATAGATAGATAGATATATAGACATATAGATATATAATATAGATATATAGATATATATATATATAGATATATATAGATATATATAGATATATATAGATATATATAGATATATATTGATATATATATATATATATTGATATATATATATATACAGATATATATAGATATATACATAGATATATAGAATTATAGATATATAGATATATAGATCTATAGATCTATAGATCTATAGATCTATAGATCTATAGATCTATAGATCTATAGATATATAGATATATAGATATACCGTGCATACACTTGAAAGCAAGAGATGGGTGTAACCGCACGAGTCTGTGCACTCAGGTCTCTAGATGCTCGTCGGACACATTTGTGATCCATCATAGCTTTCGCCGAGCCGCGCATCATGTGATGGGAGTAACAAATCTGGCGGTCGCGTAAAATGAATGCAAGGCCAGCAGGATGCAGTGCGAACAACACACAGACACAAAACCCCCAAGTGCGCAAAATGACGCGATGTTGTAACGCATTGTGAGACGCCCAGGATCGCACAAAAACAACGAATGGGATGGACTTCGTATGCTTCTTGCACAAACGCTCGACACTTTCGAACAGCTGACGTTGCAAACATCGCACAACAAGCGCTCAGGCAGCGGGCCTTCGCTAAGTTGGGTCCCAAGCATTCTTGGACGACGCCATGCCCGCCAAGCAACACATCACCTGGCGCCGGCGACGCCCATGAAGAGCCCTGGGACTCCAACAGCATCCAATCAGATGGACACCCTTCGGGAGCTGGACAATGCAAACGACCTGCTTCATTCAGTACTCGGGCTGCGAGCGCACGTTGGCTTCCATCTGCCATGGATGTGGCGGTCTGTAGCATTGCTTGCGTTGCCTCCTTGACGGAAATGCGTTGGCTGTATTGCTTCACGTGCTTTTGTAGCTCAGACTCTTGAGCATCGGCTCTGGCCTCCAACACATAGACTTGCTCGAGAACCGGCCACAGCACGCCATCTACGGCCTGGACGCTGGCCTCGTGTGCCCAATTCGCCAACACATTCGGCTCACAGTTGGACGGGGGAATGCCAGACGTGTTGACGGCCGCATGGTTTGCTAGAGAAGAGAACAAGCCTTCGCTGGTGGAGAGCATCAAAAGCTCCTGTGCCGCCCGGGAGGCTGCCCAGGCATCGAAAAGGGCTGTCAGGGCCGACTCTTCTGCCAGTTGGACGCGGGACCAGCTGAAATGCAAGCCTTCGGAGTTCTCGCTCTTGCAAGAGACGTAGTCCTCCGCCAAATGAGTGGACTCAACTGCCAACGCGTTGGCCCTGGCGCGCATGTCAAAGAACAGCGTGTGCTTTGCATGAGCCTCGATGAAAGCAGCGAGCAATTGGTTGAGTCGGATGACCACCGAGTCAGACGTGAGGAGCTCTCCAAAATCACGTGGCGCCAGGAAGTGTCTTGAAGCCTGGAGGTCTGCCTGCTGCTTCTCAATGACCGTGCGTAGATGTCGAGTCTTCTCCAAAGTCAAAGACGTCAACAGCTCTGGGCCCTTCTCCTTCTTCAAGTTTTTCAAATGCCAGGAACGATAGCTACTGAACTCTTGCACCAAGGCTCGCAAATTTGCGGCCGCTTGCTTCGTCTCAGTTCCGTTCATGCCCAGCATGCGGTTCAGGAGCATGGCGCAGCGTTCCTGCAGCTGCCGTGCAGCTGACTGGTGCCACCTCAGGGTTCCCAAGGGTGCTTCAGGCACCTCAACTGCCTGCAAAAGGTCCATCTCCCCAGAGCTCAAGAGTCCAGACAGGTGCCGTAGCTCTCGCACTGCTTCTTCTCCATCGTCCAGGTCTTTAGACGCGGCTTCGCGCCTTTGTGCCGAGTCCGCGGACTCCAAGATGCTCTTTGAGAGGCCCTTGCCCAGTTGATCACGCAGTTGGCCCAAGCCCCACAATAGAGTTTGTGTGTGATACTCTAGGAGCCGATCGAAGTCTGTCAGCAGCATGTTGTGCGATCTCTGCAGGTTCTGCAAGACGGCCTGGGTCCCCAGCTTCACAGACTGCTCAGTGCAATAAAGGTCGCACATCACTTTGGAAAGCCCATACTGGACGGGATCGCAACTCGCGACCTTCAATGTCGCGAACTCTTTCAGGTTGGCAGCTCGCGCGAAGCCGTAAGGATCTGCTGGCTCTAAATTGATGATGGCCGGGTGGCCATCTACGCCCACGGTCTGGACCGGCTCTGACTTCTTGAACTGATTTCGTCGAGTAAAGCCCAAAGCTCCTGGGTAGGCTGCTGCGTTGGCTACATCCATGGAGTTTTTTGCCGCGTTGGCGAAGCGATTTCTCGCTCCGTTTTCCTTGAAAAACTTTGCCCTTCCTGCGTACTTTTTCTTGAACTTTAGCAGCTGTCCGGTCTTTTTGAAAACGAGCGCTGCCTGCTCCTCGGCCATCTCTGCGCTTTTGCCCGCCGCTTCGGAGTAGGCTCCCCAAGGAATGGCCGAAATCGCTGCGGCAGCGGCAGACAGAGCCCCTTGGACGATCCTGGAATTCTGCTCGGTCCTTGTGTTGGTTGCATCAATCTCATCTTTGGCACTCTGGTCCTGCGGTTTAGGGTTTTGGGTTCAGGTTTCAGGGTTTAGGGCTTTAGGGTTTAGGGTTAAGGGTTTAGGGTTTAGGGCTTCAACCGCGGTCCATCAAGTCTAGCCCTTTGTTGATGATGGCTTGGTCGGCGCAGTTCCAGAAAGAGTCTTCTGTGATCGAGAACTGGAAGACGTGGAAGCAGGGGTGAGCCTCCGGTGGGCAACTTTCAGCACCCTCGCAGCTGCCTGTCGGGAAGCGGGCGTAATCCTTGCAAAATGGATCGTAGTCGGGCTGCTCGGCCTGGCATGAAGAAACACTTGAAGGATTGAGAGTTCAGGGTTTAGGGTGAACGCTTCTTCACAACGAGCCATGGCAGGGGAATCCCACAAGCAAGAGACTGTGTATGAGTGGACAAAGCATCCCCAGTCCGAATCAAACTCCTACTGAATGCAACGGCCTACTTGTCCGTGCTGTCGCTGTACGTATCTGCAGCTCTATATATGGGAGGCATCCCTAACCTGGACCAAAATGCACTTGCAGCAAGCATGCCTGCAATGGCACGCTTGCATATCCGTACTATGACCATCTACAGGATCTTTGCCTGGCCTGGAAAGCATGGATCTCCGGCTTGATCGGCCTAGCCGCTGGGAAAGGATCCGGCTCTTCTGCCGCCTGGACGAAGGACGCGGTCAGGTCTTCCAAAGGCGAAACCGTGAACATTCGCCCCAGCAGGGTCTCCAGCTTGAGGACGGACTTGACCTGTGCTGTTGGTTGCGACTCTGCGAGGGTCAGTGTCCTCCCAACAGTCCCAACATGGCTGGCGCAAAACCCGACAACGGCGTAAGAACCGGAAGGCAGCCCATCCTTCCGCTCAAGAAGGTTCGATCCACAGCGGTGCAAGGCCAGAAGCGCCCCCGCATGCTTCAAAGAGTCCAGATTCCGTATCATGGCCACCACAACGGTGCCATCAGGCTGAGAATTAAGGAACTGCTCCAATAGCGGAGCATGATCGAAACTCTCCAGCGCTTCATACTGCAAGGTCAAGGCGTTAAATGTGCAAATAATGAAGCCCCTGCCTCCAACGTCCACCTCAACTCTGCTGGAGCTGTTACGCAGCAAGCAGCAGGAACTGCGTTCACATACATATACAACTCTGACAACTCGAACACACTCGCTGCCAGGAAGCTCTCTTCTCAAAATCATTCACCCAAAGCCGCCACACAGCGTCGCCGCCGGCTCCAAGCTCAAGCTTCACCTCAAGGCTTTCCTACTGTGAAGGGACCGATCCACCCCAATGGCCGGCCCTGTATATGAGTGTTCAGGTTAAGCAGGTTTAGCTTGGAACAACGCCCTCACCCCCACCTGCTTTGTCACATCAGGCAGAGACTGGGCAGTTCCAATGGAATCTGGGCCCTGATCGGCCTGATCTGGACGGGTTGCCATACTTGGGAGACCACCGAGTATAGAACCCTGCACAGACAAAGTCCACGATGCTAGCATCGGCTCCCAATGCACTTCATGCTTGTATTGCCTCTGTTTCGCGAAGTCCGCAGGAAGACCTGCACAGAAGACGCGGCCCGAGTTCTTCACAGTGTCGTTCAGCTTGACACCGACCATCGCGGCTGGAAAACAATCAAAGTCATTGTAAACGAGCGTTGGCATGAAGTCCTCCGCGTCTGGCTTGCCATTCGTAATTCTTTGGAAAGAACTCGCGACATCCGGAACCTGGCAGCACTTCCAACGCAGGCTGCCAGTACCGTCAGACACATGCTCGAAGGCCATGCCGACCAACACATGGGAATCAGTGCACACCCCTGCCAACTTGTTGTAAGGCACAGTGTCTTGCTCGTTCCAAGAACATTCTTGGAAGTCGGCTGGAATGCATGTGAAAGCCACAAAGTATCGATCAGCGACTTGCTGGAGTTTCCACCGGGAGAGAGCCTCGCGTGCACCACAAGTGATCTCATGCTTGTCGAGGATCATGTTGTTCTTGTCTGCGAGGTCGGTGCTGTAATATGCCGGCCTCTCTGTGCTTGAAACCAACAAACGCTGCGACTCATACACTGGCCGCTCCGTTTTGTCAAGTCTCACAGGGCAGTACTCACCTTCCCACACTGCAATGTCAGACAGGTTGCCCCTACCCAGCTTCTGGCCGTAAAGAGTTGGCACCTTGCAACATGTGTACCTCATTGCTTGGTCTTTTTCATATTGCAGCCCCGTGACGATCTCGTCGTGCTCGCAACGGGCATCCCGGCGCTCGCAGAGTCGGGAGATCCCGGGCAACTCCACGCAGATGATCCTGAAGCCTTGCACGGCCTCCTCCTCCTTGGAATTCTTCACCGGAGTTTCAAGGAGGTTATACCACCCCTTGAGAGCGAATCCCATGTCACAAACTGCCGAAGCTGGCAGCAGAACAGTGGACACTCGCTTGACGCTGCCGGAGTGTGCATAGGAACAATATGGGGACTCTGCCGTCTTGTCCACCTTGACGAAGAAGCCCATCGGACAATTCAATCCAAAAAACGCCGCACCATTCTCAATGGGCGCGAGCCATCCCTTCGCAAACGCCTTCACCGGAGTTTCTTCGTCGATGTCGAAGGGAGGTTGGCGGTGATCAGCCGCTCCTGCATGATAGGTGCTGCCCATTTGGAGCTGAGCGAACTGTCCAGACGTCATCCCAAAAGCCAGGCGCTCAGTTTCTGGGGGTCGGCCGTGGCTAAGCAAACCACAGGACACTCGGGCCTCTGCCGGTTCGTTCTCTTCGTCGTAGGTTTCGATCTGCAAAGATTCGTAGTCCTCCAGTGACATTCTGAAGCTACTCGAGCACGCCGCCTTCCGCTTGCTGAACTCCTCCTTCAGTGCGTCTATTTGAGCCTCGAAGTCCTCAATAATCTCGGGATCGATCGCGTTGAAGGCAGCGTGGCAATACCTTCCATCGAAGTCTGGGTTGTGATCTTCATCATAGCCAAGGTCTTCGCCTCTGACGGGGAGGTCGTCGTCATATTGGCACATGTACAAATCATCGTCGTTGTCCACGCAACCCACAATCTGCCCGCAAGATCGGAAAAGAGAATCTACGATAACCCAACAGGATCCATATAAATCGGCGAAGGCACTCACACAGTCGTTACTGTTGAACGGCGTTGACAGTTTCATGCCAATCTTGAAATTGAGCTTGCCCCACGAAATATCTTTGTCGTTCAGGACCCTGACGACTTTGTAGTCTTCGTCATCACCTTCAACCCAGGGCCCAATGATCTTCGCCGGGCTGCCTTTTTTCGCGTACTCCGCCATGGCTGCCTCCAGCTTCGCAATTTCGGCCAAGATGTCCTTCCCAGCTTCAGTGCCTAAAGCACCGCCTTGTACGCACGCGAAGAAACTCATCTTCCCATTCCCAATCATGGAAGCCCGCGTCCAGCGTTCAGGAAGGGTCTGGTTCTCGGCAGTGTAGAGGCTGAAGGGGATCTGGTTGTTCTTGTACTTACCATACATCCCCAAGCTGACAGAAAGCGAGACCTCGCAGCTCCCGAAATCTTCCGAGGCTGCTTCCCTGCTCACCTGCCTCTCTGCCGCCTCCGATTTCCACCGCCTCCATGGCTCCCGCACGCTGGAGCGTTTGCTCACAGACTTCGTCACGTTTTTTTTGAGCTTCTTCTCGGAGATGCCGAAGAAGATACCACCTTTGCCCTTGAACAAAAACTGCATAGGTGGCTCTGGCTGGAGAAGCTCCATGCTGAACTCGCAGGCGGCTCCATCGAAGAACCAGATGCTTTCGCACAGCTCACAAGGGACAATCTTTGTCTTGAAGCCCTGCTCCTCTTGATCGTCTTGGCACAGGCAGTCGTCAGTGTCTTCCACTCTCAGGCGAAAATCCTGCTCCAAGCTCCAGTAGGTGTAGTCGTGGGTGCACCAGCCGAACCCGACGTCAGAAAAATCTTTCCTTCGCAAGCACAAGCTGTTTAACCCTTTTGTCCTGAGCAGGCCGTTCCAAAAGTAGATCTTGGGCGCCTGCTCGCACGGGCAAATGTGCGTGTCTGCATTCGTGCAGAGGCAGCCTGCTTGGCTCTGCAGCGGTGATGCCGTGGCTTCTGTTGCAACAGTGCAGCCCACGCCCCCGACATGATGTTGGAGGGGCCTGCGACTCAAGTAATACATCTCTTGCAAACTCAAGCTTCTCAAGCGCGCCAATTGAGGCTGTGCGACTTGAACGCACTCCATGCAAGAGAACCCAGCCAGGCCTGTTCGGCTGTTTGCGTTGATCCAAGTTCCGCTCACGCAAGTGATGATGGACTTGTCAAGGGACTGGCCTGAGTGGTGATTCATCATGCGCGTGTGAGGCCTGCATGAGACTGAAAGTTGCGTTGAACTTGGGAAAGAGTCCGGGAGCGGAAGCTTCCTTCTGCCATCGGCCAGCGGATCATCTGTAGACAGGTACTGGCATCTGGAGCATCCGTTTGATTGCCCCAAAGTCATTTCCATGATGTCGCACTGGCTGATGAAATCTGCAAACGCACATCTGATCTTAGGACCGTCACCAGAGTCACCAGCAGGTTCTTCCAGAAGCTGCCGTCGCAGTTGCGAAGACCAACAAGCCGCTTCATCGGCAATCCGGCAGAACGTTGTGGTTGGTTCAAGAAACCCGAAGATCTTGGTTTTGATTGACATTCCCGTCCGGCTCATCGAGTCGCACTTCAGGAACAGCATGCACATGCGGAGGGAAGCTGCGTAGACCGCATATTTGCAAGACTGTGTGCCCGAGCACAAGGAAATGCATTCGTCCTCGGTCGCATCGTTGGATTGACCGCCCGGAATGAGCGCCGATATCTCACAGAAAAGGTCGCCCGTTGCAAGCAGCTGATACTCTGGCACAAAATTGTTGAACTCAGCATTCTCCTGCAAAGCCGCCTTAGCTTCACTAGTGACTGGTGCGTGATGCTGATGTTCCTGCCCGAAGCATTCACAGCTTCCTAGACTGTACAGCGTGGGATCTTCCAAAGTACCAAACGCGAAGGGCGACTCTGACTCTGACGACTCGGACGACTCTGACTCGCCCTCGGTGGCGTTCGCCGCGGGGGAGCCGCAACTCGGAGCTGCTACGGATGCATTGAGAGTGGCCTCTACATCCGTGTCCCCAACCCAAATAGCCGACGTGGCCTCTCCCTGAGAAAAAGCGTTTGCGGGCAGATCTGCCTCCACACAGGCAGTCACGTTGCCAAAGAGTTCAAGATCGCCCGACTTGCTCTTCGAGTCTAGGTCGCTTGCTTGCATGAGTGACCAGGCACCTGGACGAGAGGAACATGAGCGCTTTACCAAATACAGCGTGTCTGGCAGGGTGGCACCTTGCCTGCGGTAAATGGTGCTCTCAAGGCCTCCGCAGTCCCAAAACGTTATCGCCCTTTCCTTTCCAGGGCCTTCTTCAAGTCCACCAAAGTCCTTGGCCTCCAAATCCGATCGGGCATACCCAGACTGCATCCCATGATGTATCTTGTTGATGCCTTCCAACAAGGATATGCTGTAGGTTGGATAGCCTTTGGATTTCTGGACGGTGGCCACAAGCACATCCGAGGAAAGCGGAACGAAATCAGGGTCTCCACATTGTCCATCCTCCCACTTGCACAGGCGCTGAGCTTTGCAATCGTCCTCCGACGCCAAATCAGCACATGCCTTGAAGTCTCCCGAGGCGGACGGGTGACTGGCGCATGCCAAGGCCCGGCAAGGGATGCATGGAAGACTATCCACTTTGCTGCAGCAGCTGTCCTGGCTGTCACTTCGCTTTGCTTTCGGGTAGCTCTCGGGGCACACGGCCCTCATGACGCAGGAATTGCTTCTTTTCTCACACGGCGTGGGACAAGTGTCGACATTGACATAAGTTGAGCAGGCTCTCCATGACTCTGCGGACCCTTCCACCTCCGGCTGTGTCACCCAGCCTTTCAGCACTTGACACTGGCTGCCATTAAACGAAAAGTAGCGGGCACCGACTTTGTCCGCCACAGCCTGGCAGTGGGCGGCCTCTGTGCCTTGAAAGCAAATGCTCTCCTCGCAACTAAACAAGCGGGCAGAGTCCTCTTTAGGCCACGGCAACGTGGTGGAGGTGGTGGTTGCTCCAAAATAATGCCAAGACTCTTCAACGTGACTCACGCAGAGGAAATGATTCATAAAACCCACGTCTGTTGTGTTGAACCTTTGCGGAACAGATTCATGAGAGAACATGATGAAGATCTCATCGCCTCCTGGGCACTGCAAATGTCGAGCGACATCGCGGATGAATGAACGGGTGCAAAGCCCCGCTTCCTTGTGCTTGCTTGCCGGGCAATATTCCCCGTCAAGCGCCACTTTGTCGCTCCGGACCAGCATGCAAGAAGCACCCTCTTCGCAGGAGGATCGAACGAGCAGCTTTTCCTCGACAGGATCAAAACAAGAACTGTGACAGTCAGAAGCTTTTCAAAGTTTTCAGCTGCCTTCCCTTTCACAAAGCCCTGCTCTTCACATAATTCCATCGGCGACGGGCGTACTGAGATCATCGTTCTGCTTCAAAGTGACTAGAAGACTTACCAGCTCCTACTTCTGAGGGCGGCAGAAAGACTGAACGAAATGGCAACAGAGTCCGAGCTTCGCAACCGAAGCGACATGTCATACGAGTCATAACAGGCTTGACATGGCTTGATGGACAACACGTTTCTCGGAAAGCGACTTTTGCGAAGGAAGTTCGCGAAATGGTTGCCAGAAAGCAACTTCTTGAGACTCATTGTTTTGGGAACATGGATTGTCCTTCTCGCATCCGCAAGGAAGTTCGCAACTACAAAACTATCTTCTCTCGAAAGCCACCTTGTGCAAAACGAAGTGGCTTTCTCGCCCATTCTGCACGTTTCTGCGCGAAGCAAAGATGCGTGAAGTTGCTGTTTTGCCAGTTACGCGCGCGCGCGCGCGCGCATTTGTCGCGAGCGGCACTTTCGCTTCAACGCGCAGTTCCTCGCACTTCTTGCGAAGTGTGGCTTTTTTCACCCCTTTCCCGACAATTCGGAAGACACATTGAGAGCGTTGGCAAAAAAGTGACGTCTCTCACGGCGTCGTGTTCACAATGCACGCGAATTGCATGAACACCATCGCTATTCACGTATGGGCAGTGTTGAATACTCTTGTTCCCAGAACCGGACGGAGTACGGATGTACTCGGGTGACGCCTCAAAATAAAAGCCACTTGCAGCCCAAACTCCGAGTTTCAACTTCCATAATACAAAAGTATCAACTGTCACTAGCGCGCGCCACGTCAGCCTCTTTACAAGCACAAAACCAATAGCATCCAGGGTTCGGGCGTTGGTTGTCGACCTGAACTGTGCTTCGTGCGTTGTTGCGGCATCGTGCCATGCAGGCGAAAGGTGCTATACATCACGCGCAGCATCGCGAAGGCGCTTCCTTTCGACAGGGCTCAGCATGCCTTGCAGCGGCACATTCTAGAATTACTAGGTATCACGGACCGCATCCGAACTAGCGCCTTTCTAGCACAGCAGCAGCACGAGACTAACGCACGTTGTTTTTGCCAGCTGGGAAACTGTTGTTAGCAGTTCTTACGCAGTTACTGGGGTCATGAAGGAAAATAGCGCATTGAACCCCAGGCTTGATGGCCAAGCATGACAGGCTTGATGCATCAGGTCAGGGTTGAAAGACCGGCGCTACGCTGCCCCAACACTAGTGCCACAGTACTTTGCGGAATACACAACTGCAATTAATTACTCGACGTGTTGCCTTTGGGTCAAGACATCAAGCACGACCACGCAAGTTGAACAATTACAAACCTTTGGAGCGCATCTTTGAACGGAGCCTATACGAAAGGAAGATCGCGATGAAACGACTTGTTTCGAGAGCAAACTGGCTCATGAGAAAGACAGTTGTGAACGAATCAATAACCACATTTTGCAGAAAGCGGCTGTTGTAGCGATTTACGTACGAGTACAGTACGGAAGGAAGATCGCGAAAGTGACGTTGTACCACTGCTCTCGGGCAAGGATCAGAGTTCAAAAAGGGCCAACAAGGGTTCTGAGGGGCAAGGCCAAGTTTCCGTGGTCATAGTACCTCCATCTTTGCTGCTGGTTGCCAACCAACAGTCACCCTCTTGTGCGTAGCCACCACACTTTGGCTCTCGCCGACATTCCGAAGCGCAGGTGCCTGAGCCGGTTGCCTTTTCAGCCCAGATCAACGCCCGTGCTCTCTTCGGAACGAAGCAAGTATCATCAAAAATGTCGATCCTGAGAGATGCAACAAGTGGAACTGAATAGTACGCGGGGTCTCCCAGGGCGACAAAACATGTCAAAGAAAGCTTGGCCAGGCCAGCCGCTTTCGAGATATCTACCTGAGGAGTGCCCAGGACCTCCCCGTTTTCGTCAATCTGGAAGGCGGGGTCACCACGCCATGTCACTAAGCCTGTCTGCCGCGACCAGCGTGTGTCATCTCCACAATTGACGTCCAGAGGCCTTGGAAACAGACCAAAAAAGAAAAATTGCGTCACTGCTGCCAAGCTTGTACCACACGGTCCCGCCACTTTGATTGTGATGAGCCGACAAGCCTTCTGGCGGACGGCGGTTGAGGTGTTGTGAAGTGATCGGTCTCCCCAGCCGTGCGGAGATTGGATGGTAGTATGCGCCCGACCAGAGGAAGGACTTCACAAGATATATCTGCGTTGACACAGTGTCATTGTCATTGTTGCCGAGGCCGTCCACCCGGCACTTAACACTCTGAACCCCTCGTCCTGGAACACTTTGAAGGCTTTGAAGTGGGTCGCCAATATTGGTAGGATTGTAATGAATTGTGCCATCTGCTTCATCGAATGAAACCCATTTCGGATTCTCAGGCACACAGGCCAATCTGAAAGATGTGAGCTTCAAACCCTCTAACTTCGTCAGCTTCCAGGTCTTTTTGGCTTTTTTCTGCAACTCATCGTCCTCGATGGGAAACATGATTGTCTGGGGGCCATAGCTCAGAGCGGCGACTTTCACGCTGAGTTCCGTCTCTTGGTAAATGCCGCTAAGGGGGTCTTGGACAGCAGCGATAGTGCAGCTAGCCTCATCCTCATCGCTGTCATTTGAATAATCTGGCAGCTTCCCCGAAACAACCCCATCAGCACGAATTGATAAGTTGAACCTGGAAAAATCACAGTCCTCCGCGACTGCATGACTGTCAGCGGACTGGGGGTCTGGGCGCAACTCGATGGCCTGGCCAAACAAATGGACATGTGCGCCAGCTGGATAGGCCCATGGAGTTTTGCCTATTTGCCCACCTCCACAGGCACAACACGCATCACTTGGACGCAAGCCTTCATGCGCCGGATTCTTCTCTGGGGGTCGACCAGCATCGCACAAACCTTCCTCCACATAAGCGGCACAATTCCTTCCTTCGGCATCTTCCCAGAGCAGATCGTCGCAAGGTATGCACGTCGAGCTTCGAAAGATGTATCCGCTTGCACAGGAAGTGCAGCTGTCGGCGCCTGCGACGGCACAGCCGCTGCACTGAGCGCCGCTCAGCTGGCAGCAGCTTGCCTTATATTCTGATTCAACCCATCCAAAGATCGTGACACCCTCTTCATCTTCAGAGCATCCTTCCTCCGCTTTGCCCTGCCTGCGGCTTTCTGTCAGCACGGCTTGTGCTGGTGTATGTTTGGTTTGCACAATCTTCTTGGGGCATCGCCCAAACACCCCACGGTCCTTCCACGGAGTCGATGGCTGAGAGGTGGCATAAGACGTGGGACGCTTGGGACGAAGGGGAGATCGAAGATGTAAGGAGCTGAAAGCATCCGCCCCATCATGCCCATCGTTCCCTTCGCAAGTCTCCAAACCCTGCCGAGCGCCCGCTAAGAGCAAACTCCAGCTGCACAGCAGGATCTTCAAGACCCAGGGAACCGCCATCACTACACCCCCGGAGGGTCCGGGAGAGCGTTTTGCAACTCGAAGGCAATACGCAAGTGCAGCTACTCGATGCTGCTCGGGCCAGAAATGCTTTTGAACGCTTTTGTGTGGCGATGAGCTGCGACAAATATCTACAGCAGTACAGACAAATCCTCAGCATATCTCTGCATTTTTTTGCCTCACGCTTTCCAGGCTTTCACTGGTCCGTGCCGACCTGCATCCGCACCAACAAAACATGGCTTGCATCGCGTTTTGACAGCCGCTGCACTTTGAGAACCTTGAGAACTTTGAGAACTCAGCACATTTTGCAACTCAGGGGTCTGTGGGCACGGCCTGTGCAGCGGAGCGCTGACGTCTACCTTGCAGATGGGAGCTGCGACCAAGTTTGCTACCCACTCGAATCTTAGTGGCAGTTCTCTGGCATACGGCAATCTATACCCCATCTTGAGTGACACCAAGTGGTCCGCCCATAGCCGTCGTCCAAGACGCCGGGAAAGTCGGGGAACCTGGCATACAATCACGTGCTCATCATGCTGACGGAGTTGTCTGAAAGATGCGGGCGTGTCTACCAAGCACCAGGCTCCTCCAAGGCACCTGGGTAGACGCAAACATGAAAGTGTCCGCACATCTTCAAGTTGCCACTCTGTTGTCTGCGAGCTTCCGAAGACGAGCAAAAGCTGCAAAAACGAAGAGTCGTGTCTTTTGAGCTACTCGGGCAGTCTGCCAGAGCCGGGCGCAGGTCGGCTCTGCCCTTCTTTAATATGCGAGGACCCCCATGGACCCCCCACTGAACCAGGGAATATGTATGAATATGTCTCGGGACCCAGCTGATCTCGTGCAGCTCTGGGCCAGCGAACATGCGAGCCTGGTGCTCGGTCATGCCCGTCCGGAATTTGCAGACTCTGCTTTTTAAGGAGCCAAGAAATTTGCTCACTGAGCAAGATTCTTGGCTCCTTAAAAAGCAGAGTCTCAGGAAGAGTTGCCGTAGCGAATGTGTGCCAGGCAGACCCGCTTGGCCACGCGCCGCTGGACCTGCTCCTCCAGGCATCGCCCTGTGCTCAAATTGGACTAGCAAGGTTCGATGCACTCTGAGTGAAGAGTCCAATAGTCAAACAGTCACTAAGGAACGCACTCATCTCAGCGCCGATTGCCTCTGCCGTCTCTTTTCCGAGGAGCACCTTCTCGTTTTGGCAAAAGAGTCAAAGGAATCGCCAAGTTGTCATGCTCTTTGCCGGTCTACCATGTGATGGCGCTTCGGGGCTTGACTTCTTGTTCCACACCGCAGGACTTCGTCTCGCACTATCACACTATATTCGCTATAGACCACGGGATGGGGTCGATGCGAGTCGACGCTGGGCGATTCTCTGCCGACGTGGACTTGCATCTTGTCGTCAGACTCTGTCATGTGAGCGTGCTCGCCGCTGCCACCGAAGCAGGTCCTGACAACAACGATCACGCGCCTTCTTGCCTGAGCTGCTTTGTTGCCCTGGTTCAGTCCGTCATGTCTCTCTGTCCTTCGCCTCGAGGTCACGCAGCCCCGGAGGGGCCGTAGAGGCCCAGCAGCACAATGCCCACTGCCAGGGTTACGGCCTCGCTTGCTGTGCCATTCCCTTAAAGGAGTCTGCACTTTGCTGTGGATATAGTTTGTGTGCTTGGCTCGCAGCCCCGGACCAGAACACGGCCACGGCGGAACCCACAATCTCCTGCACAACGAGAGACAATGTAAGCCGGCGGCCCGACGCTGCAAGGACGTGCACGCCCTCTAAGACACACACAGTGACATGTTGATGCAAAACAGCTATAACAGCTATGACTTTTACCAGCGTTTTGGGCCGTATCATGCCTCTGCAAACAAAACTCTAGCGCATGTGGCCTTTCGATGCTCATACCCTTACGAGATACTGAATACACTTCCTAGTAAGTATTGTTACCAATGGTGCAACACTGCGTGAAGCTGCGAGGGGATGACTGCTTAAATCACTTCGAGCATCCCCACCCTGTCCGGAAAACCCATTAGCAAGAATTTTAGGGCGAGGAACACATGAATACATTGCTGCTGGGTCTCACCATGCGGCTTCAATTCTTCCGGTTCGATGGAACAAACGTTGAGCGCAGGGGTAGGGTTTAGGGCAGCATGCCCGGATTGTGTGTACAGAGTTTGTTGGGGCTTTGGTGTTTTGAGATTGGTGGGGTGGAAGATGGTTTTGGGAGTTGCTGGCTTTATGGTAAGTTCGGGGTTTGTTGCAGCTCCGATTTCTCCAAATAAGAAAAAGAAACATCGAACGTGCCAATCGCGAAGCCTTTCCAGTCGCCCGTTTTCCGCTTCGAGCCTGTAGAGAGTGAGAATTGGCTCGTGCTCGCCTATTCTCCCCTGAATGTTGTGCAGGCTGAGACCTGCCTTTGTCCTCCCACTTGTCGGGCGGGGAACAGACAGTTTGGGAGTCTGGGGGGTGGGCGGGAGGGGGGAGGGAGGATAAAACCCGTGAACATTCAAGGTCTCGTTTTCGACCGGGCCAGCAGCCTCCGTTGCCTCTGAGAGTGTCCGAGTGTCTATAATGCTGTCAAAAGCCTGACTCAACGGGTCATACCTTGGACATACCACTTCCTGGTGCATGTGTCGCCATGGCGCTGTCCTACTGCTTATGCTGCTAATGCCGCATCAAGCATTCAACCTGAGCGCCATGGCCTTGAAGGCATAGATTCCCCACAGCCCGCCGAAAAACAAAGCACATTGGAGGATGGGGTAAGCCACTCCGTACCTGAACTACCACGCTGATGTGAAGAAGATACGGCTCGCGCTGAAAGCTGCACTCGCAGCGGCGCACGGCAAAGAGAATGGCGGGCTCTGAGCAATCACTGAACCTTCTTGATGCATCCATGTGGACACCAAATTTTAGTACAAGTAAGGACAGATCCGCGACATGGCCCATCAAAGCAACAGCCCGAAGCGCTGACAGACATTGCCGGCATTCCAGAGCAAGCCGCTGGCCAAACCTTCATTGGAGATCAGAACTTTCATGAACTTTCTTTTTGCGAGGTGGTGCCGGGGCTAGTGACGCTGGCAAAGGAAACTGGAGCCTGCTAAGATCTGATCGCTGGCAACCACCGGCCAGTCTTTCTCCTGAGCCACTCTGTGGCTTCGCTTCGGCGAACATGGACAATTCCACAATATTGCACTTCTCCTTCTTCACGGCTTTCCTGGGTGTGGCTGACCATGTCACAAGGCGGCTCTACTTTGCCGGCAGCGCAGTTTGCGTGAGTCCGAGCGGCCAGTATCCCAAGGTCACCACCACGCCTGCCAGCAGTGCGCCTTGCCAACCGCAGGGCATTTTGGGTGTGAGCCGAGGTCACAGCGGTAACATGTCACGATGCGTTGACTGCGCTGACCGGCCATGAAGCCCACCTAGTCCGAAGGACGGTATGGCCGTCAGACCTGCTGCCTCCGGCGGGATGAACTTGAAAGGGACTAGCCTCAGCTTTTTGCGAAATGTCAGCGCCTCCAATCTAGACCCTATAGGGCTAGAGCAAATACCTGAAGTACCAAGTTCTCGCACATCAACGCACCAAAGTCTGCTCTCACACGGGCTCCGCACACAGAGCCGCCGAAGATGCCAACCTGATTACTTTAGTATTGAGACGACATAAGCTTGACACACGTCACCATAGCGCACTGTAGACGGTGTTGATACTGTGTTGCATTTACCTGACAATCGACAGAAAAATGGCTTCTTGAAGAGGTCCATCGGATGCGCTCGTTTTGTACATAGGCACTCACCGGATGGCCTGAACTTGAAATGGGTCAGTGTATCTATCAGTAGCCGGAGCCTTCACATTGTGTTGAATGTAGACTTGTGCTGCGAATGATTTCGTTGTCAGCCGCACTAGTTTCACGATTGATGCTGCATCCTGCTCCCCATCCTTTGCTTTCCCTTAGTCGGTCAGTGTACCAGTGTACCACTCGGCTGCCATATGGGCGACTGCGAGTGTTCTCGCGGAAGCAGTGGAAGTGTAACCCCCCGAACCTGAGTCCTACAGACGGCGTGTTGAGCTTGTCACATTGAATGACATTGTCAATTGACACAGGATCAGGGCCCGTATGTCACAATGTCTTGACTGAGTGGCAGACTGCCAGCGCGGAAGCAATCCCAGCGGTGCGCTCACCGCCAGACTCGCCAGACCCTGAGCTGCGGAGCTGCGAGCCACAGACTTGCTTTGGGCGCAGTTATGCAGAGGCAGATCGATACAGAGAGGGCAAGAATAGTGCAAGACAGGCCTGACGACGCCTCACCTGGCAGCAGCGGACGATCCGCATCTGCAAGCACTTGGAGATCTCAGAAGACTTGGGCTGAACAAAAAGGAGACAAAGGCGGAAGAATGCAAAAGAGCACAAAGAGCACTCCCCCTGAGCCTGAAGCATTCTGAAACATTCAGGCCTATATATGTTGCCTTTCTTTTGCCTTTGTGTTCTTTGCTTTGGCTCTTCCTTCTGCTGTGTGCAGCAGGAAAACGAAGCGTGCAATCTTCGGCCAGGTGAGTGCCCAAAATGCCTGCAGCTCATTTAAATCCATGGCCCTCGCGTACCTCCATCAATTCCTTGTCCTTAATCTTTCTGGATCCTGTGTCTCTCCCTTCGACCTGTCCCAATTATTTTACTAGGACCCTTCCTGAACAGGTCCAGCATGGTACTTTGCATTGCCGTGTCTTACCTGCAGCATGCAAACTCACCTGGACGACCTACGCATTGAATTGCGGCCCAGCAACGGCTACAGAATCTAGGAATCTGCCAGGCCAAACAACAGCTGACAGATTTGGGACGTCACTGTACAAGAACGATCTGATCTGGCGCTTTGTTGCAATGGAGCCAGCAGCACGCACCGAGGACAGAGAGTGCAAGTAATTAAGGTGTATCAGTCTTGCCCAACTTTCCTATACTTTGATGACCACAAAGGCCACGATTGAACTAGATGTTATGGAACCAACTGTAAGAGAATGCCATTCAATCGCAAGGCCAGTGCGGATAAGTTCATGACCCACTTCTTGAGCACTTGTGGCCCATCTGTATATAGCACATCATTAACAGGAAGTCTGCAGCTGTTGCAGACAGCAAAACAGCAAATTAAATCGAGATTTGGAGAGTCGACCTTTGCGACAAAATTAGAGAAGAGAGGCTGCGCCCTCCCAGCAAAGCTCTCCGACCAGATCGACCGCTTCTTGATGTGACGTCCCTGCCGTGGCTTTGGACTGAGTGCATCGACTTTTCAGGGGAGCTGCCGACATTCAAGGGATGATCTCAGTCTCGTTCGGGCATGGAATGTCCGCCTCGAGCATAGCACAGCAGTCGTGCAGAACTAATTACTCCAAATCTGCTGACGTCGGCTGGTTCCGTTCGTTTGCGGCTGGGCCACGTAAAGTCGACTGCCACAGAAGCGGCATTGGCGATTCACGCCATCCGCCCAGCATCCCTTGCGGCCCCATTTGCAGGTCTCGTCCCAGAAATGGCCTCAGCCCGGTGTGGCCACCGCAGCAGATTCCCGCATCAACCGCTTGCAGACAGGTCACCTTGGCCTTCAGGAGGTTTTACAGGAAACCAGCACTTCCTTGACATGTGCATTCGCTTGCAGTAGCAAAAGCTGACCACTTTCAGAAAGCCAACAAGAAGGCAAGACTCCCGTCAGGGTAAGCGGGTCGTGCTTTTTCCGGACAGGAAACACTCTGGAAGGGCACCTGGCAGTTGCTGGCCCTACCGGTCTTTTCGTGCATGGCCCCCCCCCCCCGACTTTGCAAAAGAGCATGCAACCAACCTTCAGGAAATCTAGATTTTGAACTCCGATTTTCAACATGTGTGGGGGGGGGAGGGCATCATCATTTCTAGGAGCGATTGGGGAGGAACCACCACGTGCCACAAGATGCTTGCCGTTCCTCGAAAGGCAGCAAAATAAGAAAAAACAAAGCAACTGATTGATGTTCGCTAGCTGCCTTGTCGCAGAAACGGCATTGGATGTGGATACCATCAGCGTTACATCCTTCCGGGTGATGGCAGACAAGCCCCCAACTTGAGAAGAAAACTTAGCAGCTGCGAGCATGAATGCGGCAAGTTCTGCACCAATCCCGGTCCGAGCATGCCCCACTGGCAGAAATCATCCCAGTAGTATGGCGTCCACGGCTCATCTGTGAAGCTGCAAACGCTTGCCGGGCACTCAATGTCAGAGTAGTTGCCTGCTGAATAGCAGGAGTGGAGTGTGTGGAGCACTGCTAACGGACGTGCTATGCCTCGGGCGCCTGCTCCACAAAACCTGCATCCGATGTGCTTCCCGTCTGCTAGGCAGCCCTTCATGCCCATGTAGCAGGAGGAGTCCCAGAAGAACGGCGTCACCGGAGGATTGTCAAATCTGCACACCTTGACCATGCACGTGCCATGCAGAGCAGCTGCTTCAAGAGAGCGCTTGTTCACGGCGCTCTGTCAAGTGACTGCGCCAACAGACGTCCTCTCCAACATGCAGCGCAGGGACAGACCCAGCGCTTGGCACGATGGCGTTCATGGGGCAGGGGATGCCTCAGAACACGAAGGATCCGACATCAAGCTCCACTTGGCATCCACATTGTGCTTTGGCCGACTTGCCTGTATAGGGCTCCTCTCCACAGAAGCGGCACTGCGCGTGCACGCCGTCGGCCCAGCACCCGAGTTTATTCTTGTTCAGCTTGCCTGGTGCCAGTGTGCCATCTCACTTCCAACACCCCTCTCCCGTGCAGCACTGAGAGACAGACAGCGAGAGAGAGAGAGTGAGAGAGTGAGAGAGAGTGAGAGAGTGAGAGAGTGAGAGAGTGAGAGAGTGAGAGAGTGAGCGAGCGAGAGAGTGAGAGTGAGAAAGAGAACAAACAAAAACAAACTCCGGAACAACTCTTTAATGCCACGCAACATTCTTAAGAAGTCCTAACGAGGGTGCTGCTTGGATGCATCGCTGATCCCAGAAGAAGGGCAGAAGCGGAGGCCGCAGAAACGAGCAGCGCTCCGCCGGAGTGAAGTGGTGTGGAACACCTTCGAAGGTGACAGAGACAAGAGTCGCAAAAAATTGTCTCGCGCAGCACAGAGCGAGCGAGAGAGAGAGAGACAGTCTCAGCGCCAGAGTACTTGAGAAAGAAAGCGCTTCTTAGCGAGCTTCCGCCAAAAAAAGAGTGTGAGAAGTCATCGAGTCAGGTACACGGCGGCCTGGTCTCGCAGGACCATGCCTCAGCAGAAGCAGAGGAACTGCGGACGAACCGTTGCCCAAAACATCTCCGCATACCTGCGGCATGCCATGGCATGCTATCGCTTGTCGCAAAGGCACAGGTTCACCAGCTCTGCCAGCACCAATCTGAGTAGGGCATGGAAGACCACCACCTGAGCGACGTTTTGAAGTGCGCAGATTTGGGTGGGCACCTCTGACCTATGTCAGAGTTGGCTGTGCCAAAACGGTCTCGTAGTCTCGTCACAACTTCACAATGACGGAGTTTTTACGTGAATATTCATCTCGCACCCAGCACAACCCTGACCATCAACCCAAGCATCCACTGCCTCTTTCAGCATTTGAGCATGCCCAAGCACGCGGGGGCTTATGTTTGAGCCCCTGCGACGGCTGTGGAATGAGGTAGGCGTGAGACCGTGACACAGGAGCAGCTGTGGCCATCTCAAGGTGGGCATGCCTGATGCGGATGCTTCTCGAGCAGACTCGCCAGAGAGGCCTGCAACACAAGATGTCCCCAGAACAAGTCTCAGCTGAGTCTCCTCTGCGGACCGCTCGGAAGCCGACCCTTGGCAATGCCATCGCAATTGACGATGACCAGCGCCCCTTTCGTCACAGCGGTGGCCAAGGCTCGGCTCTGGCTCTCACTCTCTCACTGCTCTCACTGCTCTGGGCGCAACCAGGCCTGCGATGAGAAGAGCCAAAGCGGCGATGCTGCCTGTGATATCGGCCACCTGTCCCATAGGAGCCCAGCCCAGGACAGCCTCAACCTCCCCCCAAAAACCCTTCGATGATACCCAGCCACTCCCCACCCCTCAGGTGTTGTCAACAGCTTCCTGCATCCCTGAGCTGCCCACTCCCCTAGCAAACCTTGTTACCAAGTAGACCAAGTAGCTGCAAACTGAAAACGCCGATCTGCAAATACCGTACCAGGACCGCATCTGCTGTTCGCAGGATTCGTGCCGCAAGGGCAACAAATCGAACAGCATGCTGGGTCCCACGCAGGTGCCGCCACTTCAGCTGGACCAATCGCACCCCACCCGAAAGACACGATGATGGCCGAGCAGGACCAAACTGCCTGTGCAAAGTACACACACACACATGCGTGCCCCTTTTGCATACTGTTCAGAAAACAGCTTGCCACATGATCGTTTTAATGATGTCCATGTCCCAACACGTCCCAATAGCCTGTGCGGTGGCCAACCCGGCTCTCGGAATGGCAACCTTGTCAAAGGTCGAGCCTTCTTGTCATTGCCCTATGATGCCCTGTTTTGCGACAGCTCAGACTTTCCAGAGCAGGGCTGAGTTCCTAGCAAAGCTGAAGAGGGCCGCGAAGACAAACAGCACGCCGCCCAACGCGCCGCCCGCGGTGAATACAAAGGGCCTGGCATTCCACACTATTCCAAGGTCTGGGAAGCTCCTCCTCAGCTGCTGCCAGCTGAGCCATGGACACGTTGAACACAAAGGGAACCTTGCCAAAGAAACAAACAATACTAAACACGTCCATATTAAACTCAAATTTTGGTAAATTATGTATATGCATGTGCATGCAACATAACCTCGCCGAAGAGAACATAATATATCATGATAGGATGTATGTGTATATATATATATATATTTTTTCTTTACAGATAGGTTTTGATAAAGATATAGACATAGACATAGATAGAAATACAGATATAGATATAGAGATATACAGATGTACAGATATACAGATATACAGATATACAGACATATATATGTATATACATGTATGATGATTTTGCTCTGTTTTTGTGAATCATCACATGGGCACTGGCAGAAGCGTCCCCATGGCTCGTTTGAGGCTGCTGCGACAAGGGACGACAAGAAGACGCCAACCTCGTGCTTCCCCCAAAGCCACAGTAGGGACGGTTTTCGGCTACCAGATCAAGATAGGTGCTGATTCTGGGGGCAGGGCACAAACCAAGCCATTGAAGAGGACGGGGTCAAGAGGCTCTCCCTGCAACACATTCAGACGCTGTACCCACGATGACTCGATGCCATTCGACTGCTTGCTTCTGCCTTTGGGAGGCGCTGGCATGCCGGAAAGGATCCGTTGAAAAAGGAGGAGAGGGCCTTTGCACTTCGGACAGCCAAGTGGAATTTTAGCAAGCACACGAACCGGGTGCGAGGCAGCAATTCCGAAGCCTGCCGCCTGAGACTCGCCTGGTGCTAGGTTCCAGGCGCTCGCCGCCGTTTGCAGCCGTTCACACGGCTCTTGAGTTCGACCATGTCTTTCCCTGCAACCCCATCGGGCCTACGGCCGCCAGAGCGCTCGCAGTGCGCGCGCTGGTCTGCTGGAAGCAGGGCAGGCCCTGTGGCACAGAAGCAGACTGTGCTTCGTGGCCATGCCGCCGCGAGTTTTTTGTGCCTCCCCGTGCCTTGCAGAAGGACAGTTGTCGCGGAGGCGCCACGTACGTGCTTGCCTGAGCAATTCTCGCAAGGAAAGCATGGCTCTGCAGCCAACTGCTCCACCACTTCCCCGCCATTCCAGTCTCGCTTGCGTACGCTCGCCTGGAGCGGAGAACTCCGCACGGGCGATGCAGCAAACGCACGGGTGGAGAGGCCTGAAATGAGATCTCAATTGGCCCATGGCTTTGAAACTGCTAGGAATATGCAATGCGGCAATGCGCTTCCAGGGGTTCCCACCGCTACGAGTGCACTTAACATACTCGGACCACTCCACTGACTTCTGACGCCGGCACCTGTGAGTGTGGCAAGGGCCGGTAGACCTCAGCGATTCAGCTGATACTCCAGCTTGTCCGCGCACCCCATGATTTCGACGCATCAGCTTATAGGAATCATTTAGAACAAGCAGTTCTGAGGACCTGACGCCTTCCTTTTCGCTGAGTCATTGATAGCCAATTCGCATTAGCTCCAGTGCCCTGGCAGAAGGGAGCGTAGCGGCATAGCTCGTTGTACCACAGGATACCACAGGTTCATCTGGGACTCCGACCATGATGTGGAGACGGTCCAGTTGGCGACATGCTTGAGCCGCGGGCGAGGAAGAAAAGTCTGCAAGAGTACTTAGTGTTTCGACGCTTCTACGATCTTCTACGGTTGCAAGGGAAGCAGAGGCTAGGCACCATTTGCTCGAAAGGCCCCGGGAGTAGCGGCCCGACCTTGGGTAAAGGAAGGAACTTGGCCTTCAAATTCAAACGCTGTCAACTCTGAGGTCCATCAGTGCATATAAGGCCCTGACGCTATGCAGCAAGCACAGGAGGCCTCTTGATCCCATCCACCCAAAATGCTTTCCCCAACCACTGCCTATAGCGTCCTAGGGCACCAAGTGCACCTCGTGTTGGACAAAGCCCCAAGTGGAGAACGGAGCTGCCCTCTGGCAGTGAGCGCTCCTCGCGTGGTCAGAGCCTCTTTTGGATGCCTCAACTTAGGAGCAGCTTAGGGGTTGAGCCAAGGCAGCCAAGGCAGCCAAGTCCTCTTCTCGGTCACAGTCGAGCAGCATTCTGCCTTCAACGTTGACTGCAGGGTTGATTTCGAGTGACATCAATCCTCTGTCTTCGATAAGAGTGACATATGACAAGATGACTGCTGGCTCAGGAAGCGAAGGAACCGAACCGCGAACCGTGGAACCGGAACCGTCAGAACCGGAACCTGCGAACCGAATAGTGAAACCGGAACCGTCGAACCGAACCGAAATAGAAACCGAACGGTAAAAGGTTCCTATTCCCCAATCAGGGTTGGGCTGAAAGGATTTGAGCCCAGGACCAAACATTCCTAGGCCCTGAAGGGTATGCATTTCGTGAGTGGCCTCATGAAGAAGGGGAAGGTTCCCTTCTTTGTTTTGCGTCCCATTTTCTCGAGCCGCCCCACCCCCGACCCTTTTTGGGGTCACTTGAACCTGGGGGGGTCCGGTCCGGGAACGGCCCGACCTCCGAAATACGTGCCTTTTACGGCGTTTTCAGGCCCAAAAAGACCCAAAAAAGGTACATATTTGGGAGGTCGGTCCGGGAACGGCCCGACCTCCGAAATACGTGCCTTTTACGGCGTTTTCAGGCCCAAAAAGACCCAAAAAAGGTACGTATTTGGGAGGTCGGTCCGGTCCGGGAACGGCCCGACCCGACCTCCGAAATACGTGCCTTTTACGGCGTTTTCAGGCCCAAAAAGACCCAAAAAAGGTACGTATTTGGGAGGTCGGTCCGGTCCGGGAACGGCCCGACCTCCGAAATACGTGCCTTTTACGCCAAAAAGACCCAAAAAAAGGTACGTATTTGGGAGGTCGGTCCGGTCCGGGAACGGCCCGACCTCCGAAATACGTGCCTTTTACGGCGTTTTCAGGCCCAAAAAGACCCAAAAAAGGTACGTATTTGGGAGGTCGGTCCGGTCCGGGAACGGCCCGACCTCCGAAATACGTGCCTTTTACGGCGTTTTCAGGCCCAAAAAGACCCAAAAAAGGTACGTATTTGGGAGGTCGGTCCGGTCCGGGAACGGCCCGACCTCCGAAATACGTGCCTTTTACGGCGTTTTCAGGCCCAAAAGACCCAAAAAAGGTTCCGGGAACGGCCCGACCTTCGAAATACGTGCCTTTTACGGCGTTTTCAGGCCCAAAAAGACCCAAAAAAGGTACGTATTTGGGAGGTCGGTCCGGTCCGGGAACGGCCGAAATACGTGCCTTTTACGGCGTTGTCAGGCCCAAAAAGACCCAAAAAAGGTACGTATTTGGGAGGTCGGTCCGGTCCGGGAACGGCCCGACCTCCGAAATGCGTGCCTTTTACGGCGTTTTCAGGCCCAAAAAGACCCAAAAAAGGTACGTATTTGGGAGGTCGGTCCGGTCCGGGAACGGCCCGACCTCCGAAATACGTGCCTTTTACGGCGTTTTCAGGCCCAAAAAGACCCAAAAAAGGTACGTATTTGGGAGGTCGGTCCGGTCCGGGAACGGCCCGACCTCCGAAATACGTGCCTTTTACGGCGTTTTCAGGCCCAAAAAGACCCAAAAGAGGTACGTATTTGGGAGGTCGGTCCGGTCCGGGAACGGCCCGACCTCCGAAATACGGGCCTTTTACGGCGTTTTCAAGCCCAAAAAGACCCAAATACGTATTTACGGGCGTTTTCAAGGTCCGGTCCGGGAACGGCCCGACCTCCGAAATACGTGCCTTTTACGGCGTTTCCAGGCCCAAAAAGACCCAAAAAAGGTACGTATTTGGGAGGGGCGGGGTCTAAAGGGGTCCGGTCCGGGAACGGCCCGACCTCCGAAATACGTGCCCTTTACGGCGTTTTCAAGCCCAAAAAGACCCAAAAAAGGTACGTATTTGGGAGGTCGGCGGCGGGGGGGGGTCCGGTCCGGGAACGGCCCGACCTCCGAAATACGTGCCCTTTACGGCGTTTTCAAGCCCAAAAAGACACAAAAAAGGTACGTATTTGGGAGGTCGGCGGGTGGGGGGGGACCTCCGGTCCGTGAACGGCGTTTTCAGGCCCAAAAAGACCCAAAAAAGGTACGTGTTTTTGGGAGGTTGGCGGCGTGGGGGGGGTCCGGTCCGGGAACGGCCCGACCTCCGAAATACGTGCCCTTTACGGCGTTTTCAGGCCAAAAAGACCCAAAAAAGGTACGTATTTGGGAGGTCGGCGGGCGTCAGGCGTTCAAGACCGCCTGAGCGTGTCCAAGTGTTTTTCGCGAAGTGCTTTACGCTACTCTTCTCTTCTCTCCTGAGGGGACTTTGGGCTTGGGGTTTTAGGGTGGCTCAGGGTGTGAGGTTTTTTGTGGAACCGTGCGAACCGCGAACCGAACCGTCCGGAACCGTCGCTCAAACCGGAACCGCCGAACCGAACCGCAGAAACAGAAACCGTAACCGAACCGAACCGAACCGTTTGTTTGCTGTTAAAGGGACCCCAGATAGGGTACCCCTATTTTCGGAAACCCCCATATGTATGTCTGTAGCATATTGTGCACGTGAACATTGGGTCCTCCTCCGCTACTCCGCAGCTGCCTCCAAGATTCTAAAAAATCACCTAACTAACTTTTGAACCTAACTTTTGGCCCAGGTTTGTATGTATGTATGTATGTCTGTCTGTCTGTATGCATGTATATATGTATATATTATATATATATATATATATATGCACATATACGCATAGGTCTCACATCCTAAACTAGGGGAGCTCTTGTAGGTCCTCGGGATTTGGGGCTCAGGGCTTCCAACCTTAAGACCTCCACCGAAGCCATGCGCCGAAAAACAAAGCTTAGTGTCATAGACCTCAAGCCCTGAACCCTAAACCCTAAACCCTAGCCCTAAACCCTAAACCCTAAAACCTAAACCCTCAACTCCTGCACCCTAAGCCCTAAGCCCTAAACCCTAAACCCTAAACCCTAAGCCCTAAACCCTAAACCCTAAACCCTAGCCCTAAACCCTAAACCCTAAACTCCTGCAAACCGGGCCCGGCCTACGAAGCTCACAGCGCTGTCGCCGTCGCAGATGCCCCAGAAGCGGCAACCCTCGACGCGACACAGTGCTCTGAGCTACACGGGTCTGCCTTTAAACATCGTTTTCGCTTTGAGGGCATGTTTAGGGTTTAGGGTCTAGGTCTAAGGTCTAGGGTTTAGGGTTTAGGGTCTAGGGTCTAGCGTTTAGGGTTTAGGTCAAGTTTCAGCCCCAGAGCCAGTCTTCGCTACTTTGTCCCCCGGAGGATCCTCTGAGTTCCCCCAAGGCAGATGCCATCGAACTCAGTTCCTGGGGCTGCGCCATGACTCCGGGGCGATCGCGAAACCCAGAAACCCACAGCCCCTTTGCGGCTTCATTTCCTTTATCATCCCGAGGTGGGGGACCAGCCCGATGTTCCTCACCAAAGTGGGTTTGAATTCTCCAGGTCATTCGGATATGCCTGAGTTCGCAGCCCTTGGGACATCAGGGTTCGGGGACTTGATGGATTTGGGGTTCAGGCCGAAAACCCCTAAACCCACAGGTGCGCGCGCGTGCCTCCGTGAGCACTGCGGGGAGAAGGCCCTGTCGCTTCAGAGATCGATCTTGCTTGGAGTTGTGGAGTCTGAGGCGTAGGTTTTGGGCTTAGGGTTTCTGCTGGGCCCTGCACCCTGGGGCGAACACCCGGAGTAAGAAAGACCCACAGTCCAAGCCCGGCAACCCAAAGACCCTGGACCTGCCACCGGAAGAGTCCTGAAAAACCGGCGTTTTTCGGGTAGTTTTGTTCTTAAACTGTCTGACAAGGGCTATGAAGGGACAACATGGGGAGTCATTCAGGCTCCTGCCAAGAGCCCTCGAGGCCTGTCCTCAACCCTAAACCCTAAACCCTAAACCCTAAACCCGAAACCCTAAACCCTAAACCCTAAAGAGGCCTGTAGCGCCACAGGAGGCACCCACAGCCGCTTGCCGTCGTCAAACAGGGCCATGGATTCCATGGAGGGCAAGAAGCCTGCGCCCAGCCGCGGGCTCGGGTTTAGCAGTCAGGCGCAAAAAGGTACAGGGACTGTATATGCTTTGAGGCGATGCGGATTTCGCAGGGGGGTTGGGGGGCTGAGGTTGCTGCTTCCTGTCGGGCTTATGCTGTTGCGGGGTGCTTGGGGATCAGGCTTTCCAGAGTTTACGGCCTTGAGGGTTTGTGGCCTTCCCCAAGCATTGAACACACACCCTAAGTTGCAGAGTCTTACAGGATTGTGTGTGGGGTCTCTTGGGACCTTTGTGCTGGCTTACACCCTAAACCCTAAACCTTGAACCCTAAGCCCTAAACCCTGAAGGTGTTACAGGGCTCTGGATGTTCATCAGCATGTGCACAAAGAGACCCCAGAAGGCGGAAGCCTTTCTAATCAGATGTCCATGCACTGAAGGCTTCCTAAACCCTTTGTAGACCCTCAACCCTAAACCCCAAACCACAAACCCTAAACCCCCAAACCCTATAAACCCTAAACCCTAGAAAGACTACCAGGCTCATTCAAACAACGGTGCCGAAATGGGATCCGCCAAACTTTCCAACGCCCCGCCTATTCGCCCGGCGAACTGCGGGTTGCAGAGTGGTACTTTGCGGGGCTTCGCGTTCGGAACCAGCGCAGCATATGAGAAGGCTGCATTGGAGCAGAAGATCTGCGAACGGTACGCGTGGCGGCCAAAGTCCTTTCACAGATCACAAGGATCAGCACACATAATTCTGCGCATGTTCCGGGCACCGCTGTTTCTCTTGTAACATGGTCTTGTTCTTCCTCTGAGCAAAAATGATCGCTTCGTGCACCCGCGTTCGGGTAGCCAGTCTCTCTCTCTCTCTCTCGTAACATGGTCTTGTCCTTCTTGAAGAATAGGTATACATCAGTGACTAGCCATGGAGGGGGTAGTGCTACAGCTCGTGCTACAAAGACTGAGCGCTGTGTTCGTGGCGAGAGGTGGTAATCTGCTTGCGGGCAACGCGGTTAGCTCTTGGCTAGTTGCTTGCGATTCACACGTCGTGTGTCGTATGGCAGCAATCATTTTATCTGTTAAGTGTAGACCAGCCACAGACAGGGCAAACATCCGGATCACGGGGTGCTGCTCGCACGCGAAACGAGCTTCCACGATGCCAAGCCTGCAACATCATGACATGCTGGACTGGAACGTTTTGGGAATCCACTGATTTTTGTGCGGATTTGGGGGTTTCCGAAATTAGGGGGTACGTATTGGGGCCCTTACTAAAGGGAACCCTACGTACTCTTTGGGGGTCTATATCCCTAGTTTCGTAAACCCCCATTTGCGGTGGAGTTAGCCGCTCAAACCCTACACGACCGTGTCATCACCCCTCCAGGCCTGTCTACAGGTTGAAGCGCCACAAGCTCTTTGGCCTGAGACAAGGACGGATGAAGCATCTCCAGCTCGGGATGATTTCAGAAAAATGAACGATTTCATGGTTTAGGAACTGTCTGGTCGTTGAACTTGCCGTTTACTTTAGGGCTTAGGGGCCGCGGCCTCTCTCCATAAACCTGGACGGTTGGTCTGCAGGGTGGCGGAGCGCGCTCGCGCACGCAAAAAATCAGGGCAGTGTTCTGTAGGGCCTGCAGGGTTAGTTGGCCCTTCAAGGATTTACACTTCACCTACAGCTTGTGCCGGATCCTTCCTCCCTATGCCCATGGGATTGGCAGGTTGAGCCAGTTGAACTCCAAGCCCCTTTTAAGAATTAAGCCCCCTAAGCCTTAGAACTCCCAAAGCCTAAGCCCAAGCCTTGACAATACTTCTAACTGTACATATAGCCCTATTACGGCACTTAAGGGCCTTATAAAGTGGGTTATAAGTATACACCTAAACCCTAAACCCTAAACCCTAAACCCCAAACCCCAAACCCTAAACCCTAAAGAAATCCAAGCCCGGTTCTGAGAGCCCTGCGCCGTCCACGTGGTTGGTCTGCACGTACCAAGCGCCCGTGATGGGCTCCAGAGCTTCGCCTAAGGGTTCGGGGTTTAGGGTTTAGGGTTTAGGGTTTAGGGTTTAGGGGTTTTGGGTGTAGGGTTTCGGGTTTCGGGTTTAGGCTTCTATAAGTTGCCCTCAGTGCGCAGTGCTCGGAGAAGCTCGCGGTCCCCCCGACGTGAGCAGGACCCGACGCCCGAAACCCACCCGACTTATTATTATTATTATTATTATTACTATTATTATTGAATATTAATTATTAATATTATTAATATTATTAATATTTATATTAATATTAATATTATTATTCTTCTTCTTATTATTATTCTGATTATTATTACTACTATATTATTATTACTACCTACTATTCTTATTATGATTATTATTTTATTGCTACTACTATTATTACAGGAGGACGTCCCCGTCTTTCAGCTTGCCTTTCAAAACTTTTACAGAAGCAATGAATCTCTAAACACATGAACCCTCCATTGATCAAGAATCAAAACCTGATGAACTGCAAACCCTGACCCTAAACCCTAAACCCTAAACCCTATACCCTATACCCTCAACCCTGACAGTGACAGCAGATGTCCGGAAGCCTTCGTCGTCATTGCCGGGCTCCTCCGCAAAGCGCAGCAGAGTGTCCCAGATGTCTGCCAGCGCATCTTTCCCAAGCCCGCGGAGCCTCATGGGGGTTTGGGGTTTAGAGTTTAGGGTTGAGGGTTTAGGGTTTGGGGGATCTGAGGAGAATTTAGGATGGCTTGAAGCCCAGGGTTTAGGCGAAACTTTGCCCATTACCTCTACTCCTTTCTCTGCTGCCTACGCTAATCTGGCACGCTAATCTGGCACCTTCTATAAAGGATGCAACCTCAGCCCCCAATATCGACCAAAGCGGGCTTCGGGTTCGGCAGTTTTGGGCCCCCCAAACCCTGAGGGCACGAAAGGGCCGGAACAGCTCCAAGCACATGAAGCAGAAGCAGGCAAGAAACCCTAAACCCTAAACCCTAAACCCTAAACCCTAAACCCTAAACCCTAAACCCTAAACCCTAAACCCTAAAGCACCCGAGACTTTCGCAAGGATCAGGCCCCGCACCAAGTGGAGACGTCTTGCATCTCGCACCGCACACCTTGCGCTGCTTTGGTACTGCAGGGCTTTTCGGGGTTTCCACGTATTGCGTTTCATTCCCCTTCGGCGTGAACTCAGTGGTCTTAAGCGTTCGGTCTAATGGAAAGACTGGGGCAGATTGACCAAACTACCTCAGCAGGTTCCTATGCAGCTTCGGGGGGCATGTTCCGGGGCAGGTTCTGCAGCTGGTTGTCCCCACATTCATTCTGCGGGCAGATTCCAGGCGAGTTTTTCAGAGCTCTCGTGGACAAAGGTTTTGCGCTCGAGAAGCATGCACAGAGCCCACGCCAAGCCAGACAGATGCATCTTCTCCGAGTTTGCAACCGCCTTTATAGGTTTAGCTTCCAGCAACACGCCGGTTGCCGGCCAAAATCTTTTGTGGGTGCAGCAGGGGCAGATAACAAAGCCAAGAAAGATGCATTTCCCGGAACTCGAACCATGCATGTTTCACCGCGCGTCGTAACTTCTTCAAGCTTCATTGCGCTGAACACAAGCTTGGCCAAACTCTTGCTTTGAACTGGAACAGATGGCAAATGCCAAGCCGAGCCAGATCCATTTTCCATGCTGTTTCTTGCAACTCTGAGCCCCACAGTGCGAGCTCGGACAGATGACAAAGAAGAGCCAGATGCATTTCCCAAAAGCATGTTGTACCGTGCGTTCAAACTTCCCGTGTCATCGCTTCCGAAAAACTATGCTTTTAAGGGCTCTCCCCGCGTCATCGCTACAAAGACAACCCAACATGCAGCAATATGACCATGTGCTTCACAACTCCCGCAGCATTGCGGCCCGAAGCAGGGATAAACAAGCTTGTTGGGTAGGTTCTTCGAAGAGACAACCTGGAATGACCCTTGTTCTTGTTCTGATTCGGGTATCTTTCCTTCCCGCGATTCGTGCACTTCGAACCAAGACCTCTCGCAAGACAAGACCTTGTCGCATGCCTCTTCTGATATTCCCACAGCGCAGTTGTATTCATGCAAGCTTTCTGCCGCTGGGGCGGGTGTAGATGTAGCAGGATTTCAGGGATGCTTTGAAGGGGAACGGGCGGTTTCGGGTTTGGGGCACGGGTGTGGGATCTGGAATCCAACTTAGACAGGCAATAAGCGGGTACTCCAGGCCTGGAAAACTGATCCCCTAAGCAGCTCATGCCGTGAAGCCCTGATACTTCAACAGCTAAGTTGGGAAGCCTTGAGCCCCAAGCCCCCTCACTGTCATAGAGCGCACCAGAAACCCCAAAACCCTACACCCTAAAAACCCTAAACCTCATCCCTATCCCGCAACCCCAAGATGTGCAGGGCATTCAGGGTATGGAGACCTCCCGGCGTCATCCAGGCGCCGCCATCCTCCCAGGGAAGCCCCACCTCAAGAGATCTTTGGGGCATATTTGGCTGTCTCGGTTTCTGGAGTCTTGTAAGTTTTCAGGATGCGTGTTGAAGCTTAGGGCTAGGGCTCGCTGGGTCATTAGGGTCGGGCGGTGGTTGGGAAGGGGGGGAGGGTCGGGAGTTTGCTCTTGCAATCATACCTTCCCAGCAGCTGCCCAAGCCCTACCGAATATCCTAGACCGACCCTAAATCCTAAATCCTAGATCTCGGAAGCAGCGAACCCCGAACAGCGGAACCTCCATTTAAACTCTACCGGACTTAGTATTCGAATAAGGTCATACCTTGGGTCCACAAATCTTGAAACGACCAACCCAAAACCTTTCCAGGCCAAGAGGGTCGAAATAGCATAGGCATCTTGAGCTGTACCAAAAACACAAACGCACGAAGTCGAAACGAAGTGGCCAAGATGTATGCGGTTCTCTGGTTTTGCAGCCCCATGCACCAGGGCCTGTCCAAATCAGGCTCTTCATGATTGCGCCTGGAACTTCATAGCCACCCTTCTGCAGATCGACCACTCAAATTGATTGATACAGCCTCCAAGATTTCCGGCCAGCTGATGACGGTACCCACTCCGGGGTGGAGCCTGCCGTCCGACACATAAAACTGCTGCTCGACGAACTGCGTGACACAGCCGCACCCCTGGCCAAGAGGAACGGCCACGCCCGCTTGGCGTGTCAACGCTTGTGTCGGCCGGCGAACGCGGCCAAGCTTGTGCGCTTGTTCGTGTGCGAAGGCCGAAAGCTCTAAACATTTTGGCGGGCGCGGGATTCAAGACGCCCCTATTTCCCGGTGACTGTCTACAAAGTGTAGATTTTCTTGTATTTGCCGTCTGACTTGGGGTCCTTACAGACTCAAGACAGATTCTGCTTCGACAAAGCCTTGCTGTTGCTTTGTATTAGGCTTTCATTACTAAAACCTCTCAAATTACCTCTTCTTAAGCTCTTCAATATGGCCGAATATTTAAGACGCCCCTGGGTTCTTCGCTCATTTCACCGACAGCGGCTTTATTGAGGGTGATGATGTGTGACATGTTGCGACGCTGATCATCTATTTAGTATGGTCGAACCACTGGGCCTGGAGCCTCACACTTGCAAGCCTAGTTCACTCCAATGAAACTCCAACCCCTGAAATCCAAACAACTGACCAAAGACAAGGCACTTAAGACTTACCAAACACACCTATGCCGGGCGCGGGGCCTACATCTTTCAGCCTAACCATCTGATCTTATGGTAAACGCCCGATTCCGGAAAAAATCGCCTTTAAACACCAGAAACCTCTCTTATTTTGATTAAAACCAAGGGACGTCTTAAATCCCGCGCCCGGCTACATTTTGAAGCCCACTATGCCATCGTCAAAGGAACATACTTTCAAGAAGTATGTCGAGCAGCGTCTGCAAAAGTTCCTAAACAGTTCGGAACCGTGAACAGGGGGCTCAGTACAATGACATGCTGGGTTCAGAGCGTAGACTAGAACTACCAAGAGCTAACTGCGATCCGACTGCGCGTGTCAGTTCAGCAATCATGCATGCTGAGCAATGGCCACCACTACCCTAAGCCCTAAGCCCATTCGCACCTAGGGAGAGGTTTGTGGGTGGGATTGCTTGAGTAGGGCCCCTTTCAACCTTGAGGATTTCGTACCAGGGTTGTACCTTTTCACCTAGTCACCTCGGGATGTTCACCCTGATACTAACAGTCCTTAATTGGGATTCTCGTACCCCCGTACTACAATCCCTACTAAGGACTGTCAGTATAAGGGGGAACATCCCCATAGTCACCCTTCAACTCTAACCCCTCAATCTGGACAAGCAGCAGCTTGCGGTGCGTGGCCCCCATCCGAGGCTTCTTTCCACCTCATGCCCTTGTCGTCCTGGCTGTCAACCGACGACGGGACAAGGCTTCGGTGAAGGATCAGAAAGCAATTTGACGAAGATCACAAAAACCTTAAGTAAGCAGTGAAATGCTATGAAACGCAGCAATTCTGGCTGTTCGTGGGCAGTAAATGCTCAGAAATCCAACATTTCTGGCCGTCCGCAAGCATTCAATGCTGAAAAACCACAGAATTTCTGATGGTTGAGGGCCCCAGATGCCATTGATTGCAGCGCGAGAAATTTCAGCATTTCTATCCCAAATGCTGCTCGCTTTTGCAAACGCTCGCATGATTGGCTTTAAAGTTGACTCGGGACGTTGTACAAAGGTCCCTGCTGTGCATTATGAGTTTTGGCTTTGGGGGTGACTCGGCAGGGGTTCGAGGCTCCGACAGCCTAGATTCCGCAATGCGAGTCTTGACTCGCTCACTGAGAGAGAGAAGTTTGTAAAGCTGACAGGAGTCGTTGTCCAAAGCACAGTGCGCGTCATGAGAAGCGTTGCTTTGTCTTGGAACTCGATCAAAGCGAGATGCACGAAACCGTGGCATTTGCTTTGTCGCTTGGCTTGATACTTGCAGACACGCCTGAGCAAGGAAATCTTCTACAACCCCAAATCCTAAACCCCTGAACTGAAACCCTGATCCCTAAGCGCTGAACCCTGAACCCTAAATCCAAAAGGCCAGAAACACGCAAGCACAAATTAAACTAAACCCTAAACCCGAAACCCTAAACCCTAAACCCTAAACACCGAATGCGCTGTAGCCGCACAGACCGACTCCGCTCCTCCGACTCGACTCTGGGACCTCCCCGCTTGATTTCGGACCACCACCTCCGGCTTCGGGGCTTTGAGGGTTGTTTAGGGTTTAGGGTTTAGGGTTTAGGGTTTAGGGTTTAGGGTTTAGGGTTTAGGGTTTAGGGTTTAGGGTTTAGGGTTTAGGGTTTAGGGGTTAGGGTTTAGGGGTTAGGGTTTAGGGTTTAGGGTTTAGGGATAGAGGGGCCTTAATGATTGGAATAGGGTTCTGGGGGTTTATTTTCTTAAAGGGACCATAAGGGAATACTACTAGTAACTATTCCGACCCCGATATTAGGGTTTTTCTTTGAGGGGCTCGATAGTAGGGTTTCTTTGAAGGGCTTGCTAAGGGGTTGCTTAGGGCGTTTAATTATTCTCTTTTCTTAGGACTGGGGGGTGATGGCTTAGGATGAAGACTTGAGTGGGTGTGTGGATTTGAGCTTTAGGGTTAGGGACGAGGATTGGTTTCTCAAGTTCAGGGGCTCCAGACGTTTACGGCATTTAGGGTTTAGGGGTGGGGGCTAAGGGGTTAGACTGGAGGAGGGACTTGCCTTATCCTGCGGCATTTGCACCCTGATTCCAAAAGCCACCTGTACCCGTACCCCGTATTGCCAAATATGAGATCCGTAGCCCCTACTTTGGAGTAGACCTGGAAAAAAGTACATGCATCTTTGGTGTAAGGCACAGTAGCTATGGTAGGAACCCAGGCTCAAAAATGCATTAAAGTATGGTACTCCAAAAACCAGTAACCCTAAACCCTAAACCTTAAATCTTAAACCCTAAACCCTAAACCCTAAACCCTAAACCCTAAACCCTAAACCCTTCCTCAGCAGGCACTGGGCAGCTGGCTGCATCTCCAGGGTGATGCCGTCGTCGTCCACGGCCGACAAGATGTGGCAGTTCTTCGCCAGCCTCCCAGGTTTGGGGATTGTAGCCCTAAACCCTACACCCTAA